ACGGGAATATGTATCACATCAGAATGGCTTTAATTGCAGAAGGTGGTTCCTTTTATAGAGAAATCTGAGGTGTTAAATTGAATACTCTATCCGACCTCCATTTTCTCATTGGTTCAAATCTGCCATCGATTTCAGATTAACAGAGAAAATCCTTCTCTTTGTGTTTTCCTATTGACCTTAAGTGTCATAGCAGAAAAATTCATCTTTCCTAAGATATGTCTATTCTGATTCGTTTTTTGTCTCATATATGCACTACACAAGTATCATTTATGCTCTAAAATCTCCCCATCACAATCAAAAACAAAAACAAGAAAATACAAAAGACTGAATTAAATTATAAATTGTTATTTTGCGATATGGACAAAAATTGACAAAATAATGTGCAAATAACAAATTCAAATAATATTACCAAAAGCTGGTCAATTGATTTGACATTGATCGCATTTTAGCAATATTTTTTTTAATTTTTTTTTGTTAAATTAAATAATACTTATCGTAAGTTCTGTAGTGGATATTTTTAGAGAGAAAGTTAAAATAGCAAGTCCGTGCAATGTTTATCATCAAACAAAGGGCAGACCATTAAAGCCAGCAAAATTATCTTTTACTTTAATAATGTTTTTATTACTTTTCGTTTCTCTTACGATTTTTTGTATTTTATTTAAATTTAACAAATAAATATCACTACTACTTAGTTATATTTACATATATGCAAATAAGTTTATCTTGCTTAACTCGTTGACATGGATATACCATGCTATAATTAAAAAAATTAGTAATAGGTAATATTTTACAGAGCGTAACTTTTAAATTCTTTAATGCTAAAATTCAAACGACTTTTGCAGACCTTTCGTATAAAAGTGATTGAAATTTTTATATCTGGTATAAACTATATAATTTGCTCTTAACAATTTTCAAAAAATTATTTTCGTCAACAAAGCAGCAATTACTAATGCTGGACAAGATTTTTCCAATTAATTTACATCGATTGATGGAGAGAGACACTTTAGTTCACCCTTTCATCAGAAGACTTATCATTTTTTATGATTCTATAGTAAGATGAAAATAAAATACTGAAAATAACGCGACAGATTGCTTTTTCTAAAGAATTACTGCCATATAAAAGGTACCACAAAGCAATAGTTTCATAATTTCTTTATGATAATACAGATAGGAATAAATGTTTATGTGATAACTTCACAATTGAAATTTGTGCTGAACTGTTATTAGCAAACAATCGTTTAAATTGATTGCTTTGGTCTTAATATTATTATTTAGTTTTGCTACCTTAAATATTATTTTAGAGTTTTACAGCAATAATTTTAAGTGAGGTGATTAAAATTTGTTTTATAGTTAAATTTTGTATGCAACCAGAGTTTTACAGCAATAATTTTAAGTGAGGTGATTAAAATTTGTTTTATAGTTAAATTTTGTATGCAACCGACCTCTTGATTGTATTATGCAAAAAAAAATTTTGATAATTGAGATTGGGATTTTATCCAATAATTCTAAACTTTGCAGAAAGGAGAAACATAACTTCTTTCTGCAAAGTTTAGAATTATTGGATAAAAAATTTTATTTAACTGTAATAATTGCTGAACGAAAGTATATAATTTTGAACTATGCCTTATATTCGAAATTTATTGAGGGACTGTTTAACTTCGCCGCATCTCCAACAGATTTCAAATATTTTGAATAAAGGGATTAAATTTTAATAGGAAAAGAATTCATGGAGTTTGTAAAGCTTGCTATTTCATTTTTGCAATTAATGCGCAAATCAGTTCGTTAACTACATTAAAAATTGGTTTCGTTAAGTATATTTCATTTCATTTTAAATCGCTATGTCTTTGCAATTTGAAACAAATAAATTATTTTAAATTTCAGTTATGGAATTATCATCAAAATATTTTAGTTCTGTCTATAACACCATAAAAAGAATTATTCTCTTCCATATAAATGTAAATCATAAAACTATAGATCGCGGTACTTTCAATATTTCTTTCACAAAAAATAATTCATTGAATGATTCGTCGACATTATCCTTTGAAGATGACCAGATTATCTGCAAAGAGAGATATATCTTGAAATATCTGGTCTGGAATTTTGAGTGATGAAATTGAGTAATATACGAAGAGCACTTAATGAAAGAGTTTATTAAATAGTGAAAGAGACACTGTTGACCTTCAATGATCGATTATTTATAGTTTGTTTGGAAATGCATGACCTAAATCTGCTTGTCAATTACTTTTTACTCCTCATTAGAAAGTCCACGCTTGAGGTAAGGTTAAATATGAAATAATCAACTTTACAATAAAGGGAACTATATAAAGGATTATCGAATTTTCTCTCAGTTATTCAAAAAAAAAATTAAACAGATTCTATATCGTTTTTAAAATCTTTTCTGATTGTTTACGACGTTTCGATTATTTGCATGTTTCTAAATTTATTTCACAAGGGATGTGGAGCTTACACAGATCAAAGCTTGGAAATGAACCAATCGTTTCAATTATTTGTATGAAAAAATCTTTTTTTTTTCCTAAGCACATAAAATAAAAGAAATCAATATATAATATTTACTTGTTATTCTTTACCAGTAAAGCAATTTGTTCAATCCGTTTACATTTTCCGTTTTATTCTTTCATATTTTTTTCTTTTCAGTACTATTGTCTTATTTATTACTGTGTTGAACAATTACATATCTATTAATTCAAACAGTTTCCATAATTATAATATCTGTGGATGCGAAATGTGTGGCATGCCTTTTAATTTAACGTTGCTTAAAAAAAGCAATCATTGATTTGCTACAGCTTTTCTCGGGAATTTATTACACAATTTCGATGATCAGAGTTTAAGATGCAGAAATAAGGCACAGATGAAAGAGGTTAAGTGATACTGTTTCCATACGGATGAGTTACTGCTTGAATTTTGCTACTTACTGACCGATATATACTGGGTACCACATTAGTGCAATTTGCCGTATCGAAACATCCAAGATTTGATAGTGTTGACGGAATCTTTTCCTAACTGTTTAATTTAATTGACGTTTGAAGTAGAATAAATGATGTTTACAGTATTATTGCAGAACATCGCGATACGCACAACAAATATTGTAATCGAGAAAAATTGCTCGCGAATCACAGAACTTTTTGGAAGTGTAAATTTTAAAATGTATTGAAGTAAAATTAAAATGTATTGAGATGAAATTCCTTGCAAAAATACCTTGCAAAAATTTAGATGCTTTGATTCTTTACATCTTAATATCCGGCTATATCTTCTATGTACGAAATGCTAGAAGTAAAAATCAGCGAATAAAAAAACTAGAAGTAAAAATCAGCGAGAAATAAAAATTAGCGAATAAATAGCTGAAAGTTGCAAATATGAATAAATTTATGTTTACCATTGAAATGATGAAAAGATAAGAAAATGGGGTGGAAAAAAAGATTTTTTGAAACATTATTACGAATTATTTAAATCAGAATCATTTTTTATCCGGAAACATCCAGTTGTAAGTTATTTAGTGGGTTTTTCAGTATTTGCCAGAAAGCACACATAAAACTGACGATCATATAAAGAAAATTAGTACTGCGGTGAGATCAAAGCTACGAAGCGGTCAAAAGTAAAATATGAAGCAAAGTGGGAAAGTTTTCACGCTTTAGCAATAACTCATTCTTTGATATAGTGAAATACAAAGAATTTAGTTTAGTTTATGGAGGGAGTGAGGAAATTTCAAGAATGAGAATAAACTGATGCTATTGAAGTCAAAGATAATTTTTAAAAGAGAGAAATACCATTTAAGGTCCATGTTTAAACGAATTTTACATTACTATTTCGAGTTTTGCATTGTTTAGCGTAAATGAAGTTTAAATGAATTGCTCTACGGTAATAGCAATTCAATTGCAGTATATTTTATCAAGGAAACAGGCATGTACACTTCCTTATTTTCACCAATAATGCCTTTTGTTCTTTCTAATCCGTACTTTAATTGGTTAGATCACGGCTAGCATGTAATCTTTCAAAATGAATAAAAGATGCATGGTGTAGGAATTCTGATAAATAATCATGTATTGAGTGATATATAAATCTACCATTTGATCTGCTTTCAAATCACAGCAGAATTTTCTGCGGAAAATTAAAACTTAAAAAAATCGCAAGAAATCAATTGTAATGTGATGAGAATAATGCAAATATCTTCTATAAAGCACCAACCTTTAGCATAAGCAAATTATTGAAAAGTCTTAGTCGTTCGTTAGTATTTTCAGAATTTCCGACAATTCAATGGCCAGCAAAAAGTAATGTAATGATAGTCTAATAACCAATGCAAAACAAGCATACTCAAATACAAACTATAAAATGAATACAATTATGAGTAAATGATCTTCATTATAATTGCTCAAATATTTGAAATTAAACATCATTTTTAATTGAAATTAATCACCGACAATTCAATCAATTCTGCGGAAACATAGAGAAAGAGCGAAACGATGGAAAATCGGCAATGAGCGCATATTACTATCAAAGCGCGGAATCAAGCAATATGCCATACAGCTATGATAAGCCGCTGGAGAGTTCAGAGATGGAGCGACTTCTTCAAGTTCCTTTTGCAGTTTTAAGTCTGAAAGTCTCCTCAGCTACACTCGCGGATTCTAGAAGTTTTACGCTGAACGCTTCCGCGGCTTCTTAAAACGCTATACAAGAAGGTTTCAGAAGTCATTCATATCACTTAACAATTACGGCATTTTGAGTCCGAATAGCTCTTGACAGAATCGCTCGCAGAAATGAAGGTAATTCCCACCCAATTTTTATTTTAAATATTAAATTTCCAATATCAATAATGTCATGGAAACTTTTTTGGCTAAAGTATTAACTAATAGAAAATCATGAAAAACTAAATAAAAATTGTTCATTGTGCCAAGCGATTCTGTGATGTAAGGTCGGATTTCAAATGCCACAGTTGTTGAATGAAAAGAATGACTGCTGGAATCTTCTTTCGAGAAACCTTGAAAATGGTGGGGAGAAATTCTCCGATTCCTGAGCAAGTCGAGAAAGGAGTGAAAATGGTGGAGAAATTTCCGGAAGTCGTCGGTATGGTTAAGGAAGGGAAGTTGTAGGACAAAACTGCACAAAGGAAGCCGCCAAGAAGGAATAAGACCGCCACAACAGTCCTGCCTCAGAACTTCCGACAGATCGGTCTACCACATCATGTCCTCCATTTGCAATGCGTTTCACACGGAAACAAATGAACTCGTCGCCAGGTTTAGAGCGGGTGACGCACCATTCGTTCAATTTGAGATGGCTTCATGTTGTCCTTTCAGGACTAATTGTATTTTCAGTGATTGAAATTAACGACTGATTTGCTCGGTTGTAAATTTATCGGATCAACAGTTTTAACGATTATTTAACATCACAGACAGACTGAAAAATGGTTGCAGCACAAAGGAAATGTGCCGCTGAATGCGAATGGTGTTGATGGAGGATCAAAGTGGCATGGAATGCATGAGACACATATGCTGCTGAGTGATGAATCTCGATTAGATCAATAAGCGGAACAAATTTATGTAAATAAAAAGATCTCGCCGAACTCAGCAAAAATTGACAAATGAATACTGTGACACATCATAGGCGATACAATAAAACGATAACTATTTGAACATGATTGCTTATTTCAAATTCTCTCATCTCAATCTTTCAATCAAAGTCTTATGAAATGATCCATTGAAAGGGCTAAAAATCGACAAGTCTTTTATTTTCGACGGATTTAGGAATAAGTCTTGCTGATTTTATTGATAACCTAATAAGCGGATAAACTTGAGATATAATTTGAAAAGCAAAGGAAGAAATGGCAATGAATAATCTGGTAACTCAAATAGAAAATTACTAAATAAACACAGCTACTGGATAAGCTGACTTTTAGCATTACTATTTTAGGTTTTTTTAATTCGTAGCAAAGCAACAACATGATCTGACAGACAGATCCACTGCGGAAGGCTCCAAGAGAGGACTACTTGCGGCAGCCCTACGACTTTCCTTCTTCAACCATGTCGACGAGTCCAGAAGTTTCTCTCCAATTACTTCCGTTCCTTTTCGAAAATATTATCTGACAGAAGGTTCCAACAGTAAAACAAGAGAAAAAGAAACAAATAAGAAAAATGATAAATGAAAAAAACAAAAAAGAGGAAAAAGTTAAAAAGGCAAGAAAATGGAAGAAATATTGTATTGTATTCTTAATTAATCGTATTAGTTAATATTTACTGTTAGTGTTTGCAATTTCTGGTTTTATTTAGCAGCTTTTTTGATAACAATGTACATTTAATACGGACGTCCACGCGTTACTGCAGACCAAAACTGCGAAGTGACGCTATGTGAAGAGTTAAGAAATGCATGTTTGCGCTGTTTCAAAGGTCGGCTAGATGTTTTTGTGCACTGTTAATTTATAAAAAAGTAAATAGTTGACATTTTACAAGTTAGCATGTTTATGCATCATTAACCGACCAAAAACGCACATTTACGAATTGTTAATCGTCGCAAATGCCCATTTGTGCCACTTCAAAAAGCAATTAACGTACAACATTTGCTTAATTATGCAATTGTAATTTATTTTAGGTACAGTAGTCACCAACGTAAATTCAGTAGCTTGCATTTTCATTTCAAGGCATAAAATATGAAATAATTTTAATATCTACCACGTACGTGCGTATAATATGCCTTTTTTTATTTTTGCATTTTTTTGTTCAGTTTCACAATCATTTAAGAATGTCATTCTCATATATTACATTTTCTGAAAAATCTGATCAATATATTGACGAGAATATTTCACTGATTAAAGATAACTTCGATTGCTCTTTCTGCAACATTTTTTATATTTAACTTGCATGAAATCTAAAAAATACTGCTTTTTATTGAAAAAGCAGAAGGAAAGAAAAAGCAATGTTAAATGAAAAGAGCTGATTATTAAATGAAAATCATATTAATATCTATATGATATAAAAAAAAAACTCTTAAAGTTATATTTTACTTAGGCAAATAACACAATTTAAATAGAAAAAAGATTTTTTTCAATCTTTTGGTGTTATTATTGTTATTAGTTAATTTAATAAAATTTACTGAATTCAGAATGACTTTTTCATGTTTCCATCTTTCTATTCTGTTTCAAAAGAATATTTAATAAAGCAAGCAACCCGTAACCATTCAACCCATAACCACAAAATATATTTTTGGAAAGATAAATAGTACCTTTAATTTCTACAAAGCATAATAGCCAACAGTTACACCAATGTTAAATGCAATAATACTTAGTATCATTGCGCCAACATAAATCATAATCAATTTTCTCGGCATCTTTTTTACTTGTTCTTCTGGAATTTGTATCCGTATTGAATGCAAATAATAACAACAAGCAATTGGAAATTGTTTAATTTCTATACTTTTTTAGATTTTTAATAAATTTACAAACATTTTTTGAGTAGAAAATGTCTGTAATTATATTAAATCATGCATGAAAAATTTTATTTTTTTTCATTTTCATATAATATGAAAAATAAAGTGTAAACGCTACATTAGAGAAGTACCATCTTCTTTGTATACAATAAGAACAATAAAGTGTAATGTTATGTTGGATGACGTAATATGATTTGTATTTTACGCTACGAACAAATTCGTTAGTGTGATTATAAAACAAACTACTCAAACATTGATAGAGAAAGAAGAAATTGCCCACTTTCAGGTTCAAACTTCCTGGTATAGAGATCGGTACTACTCTTCAACAGTTCCACTTCTGGGTCCAGCAAAGGTGTGATATCGCCTGCTGGTGATCCCGACGGTGACACATTTGACGCTGCTGGTACCGCCGGAACAGCATTATTCTGATATACGTCGAGTACTTCATATTTATCACCCATGACCGCTATATGAAAGAAAGAAACCGTGTCATCCGA